TTGTTAAGGCTGCAGTGAGCCATGATTGCTCCACTGCACTCCAGCCTGGGCAACAGAGTGAAACCCTGTCTCAAAAAAAAAAAAAAAAAAAGTTGCAGATGGAATTCAGGTAGCTAATCTGCTGATCTTAAAATAGGGGGAGTGTCCTGGATTACCCAGGTGGGTCCAGTGTCATCACAAATGTTTTTAAGAATGGAAGCAGGAGGCAGAAAGGGTCAGAGTGGGCAGAGTGTGGTGGTTCATGTCTTTAATCCCAGCATTTTGGGAAGCCAAGGCAGGAGGATCACTTGATCTCCATCTCCTGTGCTCACAGCCTAGACAACAGCAAGACCCCATCTCTACAAAAAAATAGAAAAATTAGCCAGGTATGGTGGCACATGCCTGTAGACCCAACAACTTGGGAGGCTAAGATGGAAGGTCCACTTGAGCCCTGGAGGTCTAGGCTGCAGTGAGCTATAATCGCGCCACTGCACTCCAGCCTGGGCAGCAGAGCAAGATCCTGTCTCAAACAAAATAAAATAAAAAAGGCTCTAAAGGCAGAAGGGAGCCATGAGCCAGGGAATGCAGGTGGCTTCTAGAAGCTGGGCAAGGCAAGGAAATGGATCTCCCCCAGAGCCACCAGACAGGAGCCCACTCCTGCTGACACCTCAATTCTAGCCCAGGGATACCTGTGTTAGACTCCTGCCCTCCAGAACTAGAAGATAACACGTTTGTGTTGCTTTAAGCCACTAAGTTTGTGGCAGTTTGTTTTAGCAGCAATAGAAACGTAGTCCAGTGGGTAAAACAGTGCTTCAGAGAGCTCACCCTTCTGCTTGCCCCCACACTAGACACCCATGTCCTCCTTGACCCAACATCTTTTGGGTCTTTAAACCCCATGAGGGGGCCTACCCAAGCCCACCTCCATGGCTAGTGTCTAAGGCTGCTGTTTAACACCGAGAGCTTAAGGATGTAAAGCCACTCCCTTCTCCTCCACCTCTTCCTGGTACCTCATACTGTTTCTTTCCTCTGAATTGGTCTCCCACACAGCCTTCAAGCTCCTTACAAGCAAGTGAGCCTATCTCCCAGCTCCACCTAGTGCAGGGCCTGACACAGAGAAGATGCTTAGGAAAGGTTGCTGGATAAGTAAATGAATGATTTCTATGTCCTACATGCCAAGTTGTAACTGGTAACTTGCCAGACTATTCCAATGAAAGAGCCCCTCTCCCACCATTCTGTGCGACTCTACCATGGGGGCAGCCCCCTCATTTGCCTCAATGGAAAGCTAGTTCTGTTTCCCTTCCAAAAACAAGGTCTCTTCTGTGATCATACATGTGACACAGGAGGGGTCGAACAAAGAGAAGATATTGTTGGTCTCCTGAGTTGATCAATGATCAGCTCAAATGATCTGAAAAATAAGTTGATTATCAGCTCATATATGGTCCTTGGCAAAAGCACTGCATCTCAGAGCTACCTGATGCAAAGCTCAGCCATGGTCAGGCCTAAAGGGGCTGGAGGACAGGTAGAAGGAGGCAGCAAGACATGCTCATCCCCCACCCCCTACTTTCCCCTACCAACACTTCACACAGCCCCATTTACCCTTCCAAAAGAGTGGATCATACCACCTTCTCACCGGTCTCCCAGGGCCTGAAGGATAAAGTCTAGATTTGGCAGGCAAGTTCCTTGGCATATGGGCTCAGATCCCTTTCCAACCTCATATGAGGCTATTGTTGCATTGCTATAAGGAAACATCTAGACTGGGTAATTTATAAGAAAAGAAGTTTAATTGGCTCGCAGTTCTGCAGGCTGTATAGGAAGCATAATGCTGGCATCTGCTTCTGGGGAAGCCTCAGAAAGCTTACAGTCATGGAGGAAGGCAAAGGGGGAGCAGGCACATCACATGGTAAAAGCAGGAGCAAGTGAGAGAGAGAGAGAGAGAGAGAGAGTGAGTGAGTGAGTGAGTGAGTGATAGAGGTGGTGGGGAGTGCCACACATATTTAAATGACCAGATCTCATGAGAACTGGGATCCACCATGAGGGATCCACCATCATGATCCAAACACTTCCCACCAGGTCCCATTGCCAGCACTGGGGATTACAATTCAACATGAGATTTGGGCATGGACAAAAATCCAAACTATATCACACCTCATCACCTGCAAAGTCCCACTAAGCACTGTCCCATTGAACTGCTTTCAGTTTACCACCCTCTAGGTCTTTGTTTACATGAACAGATCCACACAACTGATATGTTCTCTCCACCCACCCTAATCCTTGACCAATGAAAATCCTTTTTTTAGGTTTTTGTTTTTGTTTGAGATGGAGTTTTGCTCTTGTTGCCCAGGCTGGAGTGCAAAGATGCAATCTCGGCTCACTGCAACCTCCGCCTCCTGGGTTCATGTGATTCTGCTGCCTCATCCTCCAAAGTAGCTGGGATTATAGGCATGTGCCATCACGCCCAGGGAAATTTTTTGTATTTAGTAGAGACGGGGTTTCACTATGTTGGCCAGGTTGGTCGAACTCCTGACCTCAGGTGATCCACCCACCTTGGCCTCCCAAAGTGCTGGGATTACAACTGTGAGCCACCACGCCCAGCCAACGAATGAAAATTCTTTCTCAGAACCCATCAGCTGCCATCTTCTTTGGGAAGCTAATCTCCTTCCTAAGGAATTAATTGCTCCCTCAGCTGTTCATCCTGTAGGAATTAAGACTGTCATATTTCTTACCATAATACCTCAGTATAGCAGGTAGGAATCTCATCCTCACATACAGTTGTACACGAAATAGCACATTTCCTTAATTGTGATGAGTCACTTTGATTTTATCTTCCCTCATTCTCCTCTGCTGGGATGCTTCAAGGTTCTGAAGGCTCCCAGGATACTAACACCCTCCATGTGGATGTCTGAGCAGGAACCTGTCTGCTGATGCCTCAGGTCTGGGGCTCTCCATCACTTCCCTGACACATCTGGAACTTGGGATTGACTCTTGTGGTGGGAGCCAGAGCCTGTTCTTTCCCATTGGGGAAACCCGGCCCCGGCTGTCTGAGACCCCAGACTTTTCTCAGCCTCCCATCAGAAGAACTCTCAGGCTGGGAGCAGTAGCTCAATTCCATAATCCCAGCACTTTGGGAGGCTGAGGAGGGTGGATCACTTGAGCCCAGGAGTTTGAGAGGAGCCTGGGCAACACAGCAAAACCTCGTGTCTACAAAAATACTAAAAATCAGCCGGGCATGGTGGTGGGTCAGGTGATCCGTGGTGGTGGATCACCTGAGCCCTGGAAGTTGAGGATGCAGTGAGTCGTGATGGAGCCACTGAACTCCAGCCTGGGCGACAGGGCAAGATCCTGTCTCAAAAAAAAAAAAAAAAAAAAGTATTCTCCATTCTCCACCTCCTACCCTAGCTCCCCAACACTCTGCCCTTTCCTCAAAAGCCCACATCCTCTTCCTTATTTGCCAATAGATTTGTATAGCCCATTAAACCCGAATTTTAATCACTAGCAACAGTAAAGCCAGCACTTTTCTAGAAGGAAGGAAGCATTTAGTCTTCAAACTCACCCCAGAGGCGAGGAGCACTACTTCCATTCCATCAGAAAGGAAAGAAAAACGGTGGCCAGGAGCCGCGGCTCACGCCTGTAATCCCAGCACTTTGGGATGCCGAGGCCGGCTGATCACTTGAGGTCAGGAGTTCGAGACCAGCCTAGCCAACATGGCGAAACTCAGTTAACTAAAATTACAAAAATTATCCGGGAGTGGTGGCGGGCTCCTGTAATCCCAGCTACTTGGGAGGCTGAGGCACAAGAATCGCTTGAACCTGGAGGCGGAGGTTACGGTGAGCTGAGATCGCGCTACTGCATTCCAGCCTGGGCGACGGAGCGAGACCCTGTCAATGAATCAATCAATTGATCAATAAAGGAAAGAAAAACAGAAACAGTTCTACCAAGTCGTTCAATGCCGTGGCCTTCACATCGGCGCTCAATGAGCGTTCTCAGAAGCGAATTGCCTCTCCTCTCGGCCTCCTCGCCTGGACTGGGGCTGCAGGGTGCCGCGGAAGCGTCTTTCGTGAGCTCCTCGCCCAGGAGCGCCCGGCCCAGGAGCGCCCGGCCCAGGAGCGCCCGGCCCAGGAGCGCCCGGCCCAGGAGCGCCCGGCCCAGGAGCGCCCGGCCCAGGAGCGCCCGGCCCAGGAGAGGGACTACAAGTCCCAGGCTGCCTTGCGGCAGGCGCCAGGCGCGCCGGTCTGCGAGGAGACGTGGCAGAGCGCTGCGCGCCCGCTCGGGACCGGAAAGCCGGGGAAGTGGCAGAGGCGGGAGGGCTCCGACCCATGGCGGCCAAGACGGCGGGTGTGGGGCGCTGGGAGGTAGTGAAGAAGGGCCGTCGGCCTGGGGCCAGTGCTGGCGGCCGAGGCGGTGGCGGGGACCGCCGGGCACTCGGGGAGGCAAATGGAGTGTGGAAATACGACCTGACGCGTGAGTACCTGCCCCGCGCCGCCGCCTACCCCGGGCCTGTCCGGCAGGGTCGCAGCGAGCCGTTCCCAGAATCTGGGCGCGAGCTCGCAGGCACATCCCCTAGCGCCACCCATGCGTTGTCTCTTTGGAGCCTCACGGGAGGCAGCTCCAGGGAAGGTTGCGGTCCTCACCTCCCAGATGAGTAAACTGAGGCCCAGTGAAGTTGTACACCTTGTCCAGGGTCATATGTCAGAGGGGCTAGGATTCTGATCTTCAGACGCTCAGTTCACTGCACACCCTCCCAGCTGTCCCGGGCGCTAGCTGGCCTCTCTGGGCAGGTGTCTGAGCTGGGAAGAGGCACTCTGGATCATTATACACGGTGCCTTCTCTTTAAGTAACCAGCAGGTCTTGGAGGGAGGGACAGGAAGCCCAGCAGTGGGAAAAATGACCGCCACACACTCAACACTCACCAAGAATTGCAGGTGACACCTGGTTCTTCCACTGAGGAGCGGAGAGAGCTTGCCACTTGTTGATGATAGAGTTGTCATGTCGGAACCAAGAGGCGTTGGGGTAGGACCAAGATAGGAAAAGCCTGTCTTTCCAGACTAGTAGCCACTCACTGAAAAAGGCAAACCTCTATATCCGATCTCTCTGCTTCTTCCCACATACTCTGATTTGTCTAATAACTGCCCCATCTTTATGAAAGAGTCCACGGACTGTAATCAAAGACGCTACCCTGCCCTGCTCCTTAAGCAGTCAGAGAGGAAGGGACAGGCTCTTTCCTGCAGATGAATTAGGTGGCTGTGTGGGGAAAGGGACCACTGATAGGTGAGGCCTTGGGGACTTAAGGGTGGCTCCCCTTTCTCTACCTATCTTCACCCCAGCTCCAATCCAGACCACAAGCACCCTTTATGAGCGGGGCTTTGAAAATATCATGAAGCGGCAGAATAAGGAGCAGGTCCCACCCCCTGCTGTGGAGCCTAAGAAACCAGGGAACAAGAAGCAGCCAAAGAAGGGGGCAACTCCTCCCAACCAAAACCAGAAGCAGGGCCGCTTCCGCAGCCTGGAGGAAGCACTGAAAGCTGTGAGTGTGCCTAGACTTGAGATGCAGAAAGAATGGGGGCTTGAGATGTAGAGAAGATGAAAGTTGGGGAAGGCGGATGGGCAGCCGAGAACCTGTGGGATTTGGGACACTTAAGGGTTAAGAGGAGTTGTACAGGAAAAGATGGAAACCCAGGGGAACAGAATGCTGCACTTAGAATATAAAGGAAATGGAACATCTGTAGGAAAACATGGATTGGTAAGAGGAGAGCATTGAAGACCCAGAAACACCAGAGAGGAGCTAGAGAAACTGGTTATGATTCCCTTTCCTATGGAAATAGTGATCTGGTTATCATTTCCTGTCCTATGGAAATAGTGATCTTTCATTTTCTACCTTGTCCTCTGTTTTCCTCTTTTTTGAGACAGAGTCTCCCAGGCTGGAGTGCAGTGGCATGATCTCAGCTCACTGCAACCTCTGCCTCCCAGGTTCGAGTCATTCTCATGTCTCAGTCTCCTGAGTAGCTGGGATTACAGGTGTGTGCTACCACACCAGGCTACTTTTTGTATTTTTAGTAGAGACAGGGTTTCACTATGTTGGCCAGGCTGGTCTCGAACTCCTGACCTCAGATGATCCTCCTGTCTTGGCCTCACAAAGTGCTGGTATTATAAGCATAAGCCACTGTGCCCAGCCCTCTGTATTCCTCTTGAACATGTGGAGGGCCTGAGAGGCTAGGGCCTTGAGATCAGCATTTTCAGCTGTTCTGTTTCATACTTAAAGATGTGGGTGCAGCAGAATTGCAGCATTCCATGTTCTTATGTTTAAAAACGGAAACCCTTCTTCCTACTGCCACCTAGGTCAACCATCTTCCCACCCCTACCCCATTTCTCTACTCCCTCACTCACAGCTCGCCATGGTGGGGGGTTTGGGGGGGTTGTCCCTGGCAGCTGGATGTGACAGCCCTGCAGAAGGAACTGGACAAGAGCCAGAGCGTGTTCTCTGGAAACCCATCCATATGGTTGAAGGACCTGGCCAGCTATCTCAACTACAAACTCCAAGCTCCTCCAAGTGAACCCACACTGAGCCAGCATACTCATGGTAAGTCTTAACTCCCTCAAGCTCAGACAAGTTCAAAGAAATTAAAAAAGGGTGGTGGGTTAGTAACAGATCCCAGTGACTCCCATTGTCCTGATTTCCATTGGTGATTTGAGCTGTTCTCAAATCATCGTGACTGTGAATGTTTCTGGGCCTCAATCTGTGATCCTCCCTCTGGGCCTCCTCAGAGAAGGATCCTAGCCTCAGTGCAGGGCCTTTGCCTCCACTCACCATTCTTAGGGAGAGCACCAGAGTTCTCAGAGCTGATGGCTGTATGGTCTTAGCACTCACATTGAGGTCTATGGGCCTTAGATTATCCCTACAGCCTGGTGAGCCGGGAGCTGCGTGGGATCATCCGGGGGCTGCTGGCGAAGGCAGCAGGGTCTCTGGAGCTCTTTTTTGACCACTGTCTGTTCACCATGCTGCAAGAGCTGGATAAGACACCAGGTGAGAGGGGCATGTGAGGGATGACCATCTTGGGAGCTGCCTCCTTTTTTTCCTGCTTTCAGTACTGCTCAATAGTTCTTTTTCCAATAGAAAAATGTGCTAATCTTGACGCTGTTTTTGGAAAGGGAGGAGGAAGTTAGGAGTCAGTGGACCTGGGGCCCCGGGCTCACCTCTGAAAAATGGGGGATTTCAGGTTTGGGATGCCAAGTAGTGTAAGCAGGTGTGAGAATGTGTATCTCTCCAGGGGATTCACTGCATGGTTACCGCATATGTATCCAGGCCATCCTGCAAGACAAGCCCAAGATTGCCACTGCAAACCTAGGCAAGGTGAGCTCTCAGTGGTGGTGGGGACACCAGGAAGCTAGGACTTGGGAGCCTGGGCAGAATCTATGTTGTTGGACTCAGGTTTGGGATAGTGGAAGGCCTGTAAGCCTAGTAATAATAAGTAATACTATCAGCACCTACTGTGTATCTGCTTTGGAAACATTGGAGGCAGGTACTGCTATTATTTCCCATTTTTATAGATGAAAAGATTGCACCACACAGGAGTTCAGTAACTTTCCTAGGGTCAGTCATCCAATAAATGGCAGATATGGGCAGAGCCCACAGCCTGAATCCCTATACCACGCGGCCATAGTGCTCCACTCTTGCTTGGCCTGTCTCCCTCTTCCAGTTGACATCTCCCTTCCCGCCTGGCTTTGAGGGTGTTCCTGGTATTTTGTCCTATCCCAATCTGACTTCCCCAACGGTCTCTTCAGTTCCTGGAACTGCTGAGGTCCCACCAGAGCCGACCAGCAAAGTGTCTGACCATCATGTGGGCCCTGGGTCAAGCAGGTTTTGCCAACCTCACCGAGGGACTGAAAGGTAACAGGGAAGGAGGGAAGAAAGAGGGAGGGCCTTGGAGCTGGAAAACTCCTCTTTAATGCCCCCAGTAGGTACAAGCCTGAGGCTTCCCTCCTGACCTTCACCTCTACAGTGTGGCTGGGGATCATGCTGCCTGTGCTGGGCATCAAGTCTCTGTCTCCTTTTGCCATCGCATATCTGGATCGGCTGCTTGTGTAAGTAAGGCGAGGGCAGCAAGGGGAAGGCTCAGGGTGTCACAAGTGGCTGTTAGAGCAAAACGGCAGGCTGTGATCTTGGTCTCCATGGACATGAGGAAAATCAGGACCAGCTCCTCCCACCACCTTAGAATGTGATGGTGAGGAAGGAAGAAGAGGGAGCTATTAAGGGCTGGCGGATGGGGTAGAGTTTACACCCTTTTGCCTAGATGTTGGCTTAGCTGGGGTCATGGCCAAAACAGCTGGCATGGGTGGTAGTCTCCAGCGAGCCTGTTTCTTTATCCCCACAGCATGCATCCCAACCTGACCAAGGGCTTTGGCATGATCGGCCCCAAGGACTTCTTTCCACTCCTGGACTTTGCGTACATGCCTAACAACTCCCTGACACCCAGGTAGGACTGCTGTGGGGCACACCTGCTGTGCAGGGACCCCGCCACCAGAACCAGGCTACATATTCCCGTCCCTTCTTTCCCAGCCATCCTAGATCTGAGATTTGCAACCTGGAAGTTCAAGAGTGGGTTTCAAGGGAACAGTGATCCCTTGAAATTATATGGACCCTTTAGTGTGATTGGCATATGGACATCTTAAGGAGAGGGTCGATGGCTTTCAACAGATTTCCAAGGGGTCTCAGTAAAAAGATTCAGAACGATTGCAATGTCCTCGGTGACTATTCTCCCAAGACAGGCACGGGCTCTGAAACAAGCAAAAGGTTCACATCACACAGATCCATTTATAGCTTAGGCCTGGCTTTCCTCCCCACCCCACCCAGCCTGCAGGAGCAGCTGTGTCAGCTCTACCCTCGACTGAAGGTGCTGGCATTTGGAGCAAAGCCGGATTCCACCCTGCACACCTACTTCCCTTCTTTCCTGTCCAGAGCCACACCTAGCTGTCCACCTGAGATGAAGAAAGAGGTGAGGACATGGTGGGAGGCTTCTTTTCCTTCCCCAGGGGTCAGCTGCAGCAGTCCCTGTCTGCGGACAAAGGCCTTGCCTTCACAGAGCCCATTCTGAGGCTTTTCCTTAGC